TAAATATACAAACTATCTACATTTCTTATTTCATCTATAATTTTATGCCTTTGGCCAGGTTTGGTAGCAAAATATTTCTTTTGTTCTTCAGAATATTTTTCTGCAACTGGAATAATATCACGATAGCTCCAATCTTCCCAGTGATAATTGAATTTTTCCAACAGCTCTCTTTTCTTATCTTCAGGAATGACGTCATTGGGTTCAGTCTTTGTCAAAAGGGGGCAGGTAAATTTTTCAAAAATTGCCACACCTCTTAAGGCAAACCAACCACCATATTTAGGATGAATGCAAACACCAAATATTTTCTGTAAACATTTCAAAAATTACTTTTGCTTTATAATCTCGTAAAACAAAATTTTTCTGAAATCTACATCGACATACCCACCTTATTCGAACCCCAAGGGTCTTCTTGGAGATCGTCCCTCCGATAATAATAGGCTGCCCCGGAAACGTGAGCTGCAGTCTGCATTAAAACTTTCGGTCTTCTTCCCATGTGCAATTCAAAATCATATTTAATGTCAATTTCCGTATCAGGAAACACCTGATGACAATCCAAAACTTATGTTAGAAATCGGGAACACATCCACTTTATACACCAGTAAGAGAGATGTATTGTACCTGTTTTATCCGATCCAAATAATAAACCGTGCATTCGTCGATGGGGTTCAATGATCCCGAGAGTCGCCGGCACCGGACAAAAGGCTTGAACGCTCTGTCAAACATTTGAGGAGTGCTCACTATCAAAAATGCTATGGTGTCATAAGAATAATTCAATTGAAAAATTGGTTTGATCATATCATTATACCAGCCAATCTGTAAAAATAATAGTAATTTATTTATGTAATAATGTTTAACTTTTACTGTTATGTGTATTTATTAATTACTATACGGAAAAAACTGTCTACGAGATTAAAATATGATTAATTTTCAATAAATCATTATCTTTTCAGGATCTATATAGATGATAAAGCGATTTTAGGAGAAGAAAATACAAAAATAAAAA